GCTGTGCAGTAGCCCTCGGGTTAGCTTTGGTCGGTGTGATGACTAGCTGCCTTCCTCTAGCTTACACTGCTAAATTGGGTACGGCTAGTGCAGATAGCCCTCGGGTAGCTTTGGTGGGTGGTGATGACTAGCTGCCTTCCCTCTAGTCTTACACTGCTAAATTAGGGACGGCTAGTGCAGATAGCCCTCGGGTAGCTTTGCGCGAAATTAAAAAAAACAAACAGGGAATATAGCCAGGTGTAAAGTTGTCACTATTATACCCAACATATCCGTTATAAAAGCTGTTGTCACATGTTTCTTGCTCTAGAGTTAGCATACAATATCTAGAACTTTATTACAAAGTTAGGTAAACACATAATTAACTTTTTGCTAAAGGTCAAGCATCACATTGTGACTGCCACCAACCGTACTTGCTGCCCATTTAATAAACTTGGTTCCAGTGTCTAATCGTCTTGTATGTAACTGTATGGCCTCATAATCTGTACAAGTAAAGCTAGTGGGTTTCGGTAACGTTTGAATTGGTTTAGTGGGTAGAGTGCCCAAACCTCAAGTGGTAGTCTCTGGTTTACATTCCAGTTCAATCGGGTTTTCTATTAATAACTAATCATGTTTAGAAAAACTCAATATTCGGAAAATAAACGAATACCATAATAGTTTTAATGAGGGACCTAAAATATAAATATTTCATAACATTAGATTCGAAAAACTGGATGCTGAAGTAGTCTGGTGGTTACAGCGCTTGACTATCATGTGGAAGTTTCCAGTTCATTCGGGATTTTCTGTTAACGTTTTGATTTTAATAGATATTTACAGACAAACTATTTGAATATTCTGAAAAATACGAATACCATTATATTATAGATTAAATCAGGGATTTGAGATATTGGTTAACATTCCAAATAAAAGATGGTACGTTTTCTGCATCGAGCCACGCAATTTCACTCTGCTTTTATTTTCTTTTTTTTTTAAATAAATTCTGAATAAGAATAGTTCAGAATTTCTTTCACAGATGGTGCTACGTGGGTTCAAAATAATTGTGACCGTACCAAGTATTATTTCGAATTTATTTGCAGGCTAATTGCTTTTTTGTTAATGTATTACATTCGAAATCTGTGTTATTTTTATGAATAGTTTAATGACGTTAAAACTTTCAACTCAATTACTTTGGATTGAATGTCTACACAGCAAAACTGAATAAATATTTTACAGATAAATATTAAAAAAATATTTAGAATCGCACAATACCAACATCATTTACGAAACAACTGCCCAGAATTTTATATTGGAGAAACAGGAAGAAAACTGGAAACCAGATTCACAGAACACAATAAAAACCGTCCCATGTTTTCCACCATTGCAACTCAAAAACCATTAATATATCTATTAAACACACAGTAGTTTTAAACAAAGAACCAAACATAAACGAGAAATCCATCTTAATTGAACAAAACAACCCTACTCTAAACCAACACCCTTGGGTGCCAAGATACCTCTTCTAAGTCTTGCAACAGTATCCGGCCATGTGACCTCTTTGTTCCATATTATATATCTGTGTCAGTGTAAACTAGTTGTACCTGATGATGACAAAACCTTGTCGAAACGTTGTACATTTGCTGTTAAACTTATATTTAACTTAAGTGTTAAACTTATATTAAAGTATTTCTTCATTATCCATTCAAGCCGTCTCAAAGTGGGTTACCTGTCATCGAAAGATAGCATGTACTGTTATTCTAAAACCGAGTGCCTATATACACCACATATATCACCATTTCGAGTATCATGATATGACAGAATGAAATACCAACCTTGTTAAATAGTTCCCTTATGTGATTCTAAAATAATTAACTGTGAACAACACAATTGGACAAAACTAACTTTCGAGAAAGATTATTTCACGATTTGTGTATCATAATTTACAGCAGGTTGATTAAACTCCTCCAAATTAATGGTTGTATCATAATTTACAGCAGGTTGACTAAACTCCTCCAAATGAATGGTTGTATCATGATTTACAGCAGGTTGACTAAACTCCTCCAAATTAATGGTTGTATCATAATTTACAGCAGGTTGACTAAACTCCTCCAAATTAATGGTTGTATTATAATTTACAGCAGGTTTGATTAAACTCCTCCAAATTAATGGTTGTATCATAATTTACAGCAAGTTGACTAAACTCCTCCAAATTAATGGTTGTATCATGATTTACAGCAGGTTGACTAAACTCCTCCAAATTAATGGTTGTATCATAATTTACAGCAGGTTGACTAAACTCCTCC